TCAGATCATATCAAACCACACCGACTCTAAATGGAACCGAGTTAAGCGTGTTGAACAGTCCTGCAGGAAGCGCACGGAATGCTCTCAAGCAGAACAGATAACTAACTTAGAGATTTACGGTGATTCGGCGAATGACGTACAACGCCTCCCAGACTCACACTCACTATTTTCGGACTTGGGATGTCTTGGCGTAACAGAGCGACCCGAACAAACATGAAAGGACGAGAAAGCTCAGTGTGCATCGTCCTAGGAACTTAGCTGAAGAGGTTGGTTGGTCAGTTCCCCTACAAGAGAAGACGGCCATCCAAGCGCCACCTTCTGCCTCCATCTCGCGCTCTCGCGAAGGGGGAAGGTCTCAAGGTTCAGTTTCTTAGCCCAACTCAAAGTCCTATAAAACTGGTATCTGAGCCATAGACAACAAAACAGATTGCCTGAGACCACAGAAGACGAAGAAAGAGTCGCATCATTTGGGAGACACGTGAAGGGACTAACATATAAGTGAGTTACGGCTCACCAGTGCCCTCTTCTTTACTGGTGAGCCAGACTTCATTAGTACGGCGACCCGCTTGGCGACTGAGTGTCCCCCCGTTCTCACACCACAGTAGACAGCACCTGCCCTCCCCGCAGGCGGCGCTGTCGCTCTCTCCACGGATCAGCTTGGTCCTGCGAGCTGCAATGGGCTCCTCCAGAAGCCAGGGCCTGGGGTATTCCATGAGGACGAAGAGCTGCGCAGACAGATTGCCTCTTGTGGGAGAAACAGGGGAATCGTAGTGCTCTCTCTCGCTCCCTCTCTATCAGATCGCTTGTCAATCTAATAGTCATGAAATTAGGGAGTCCAAATCAGCTGGGAAGCTCAAGGGGAGCTTAACTGATCCTTTAATGTGCGACAATCCATAAAGGAAGCCTCAAACAATGCTGATTGGTTCGAGTCACTGGTCCACTGCCAGGGTAGGAACTTTATAGGCATAGTCCAGAAACCCTCTGCTTAACCTGGCGCAATCCAACGAGTGCTCTGGCTGCTCCCGCCCTGATGGGATGTGCTCGGAAGATCTTGGTGAAGGTCTCAGAGAAGAGATCGAGGGAGTCACAAACAGGAGACCCTCGCACCCACTCTGCCGTCGCCCAAGCCACAGCTCGGCCAGAAAGGTGGGAGACAATGTATGCCACCCTTGAGCGCTCAGATGGGTAGCATGCAGCCTGGAGCTCAAAGTGGAGGCCGCACTGAGCCAGGAAAGCCCGACAATCACCGGAATCCCCAGAAAACCGCTCTGGTCGGGAGAGGTGAGGGGACAGGGTCGGAGTTGGAGACTGGACTGGAGTAGGATCCACTGGGAAAACAGGCAATGGGGGAGCTGGAGGACTTGGCTGGAGTAATAGTTTTTGGATATTTTTGACCAAATAACAGACCTGCCCACCAAAGGACGACGACAAAACAGGCTCCTGTCTCTCGGCCATCAACCTTAATTCCTGGCGAAGCCCGGTAAGTTCCTGCTCTTGGTGGTAAATCCTGCTCCCTGGAAACTGAAGAGCAGTCAGTCACTATTCATTTTTGTTAAAATGTTCAATCAATGGAACATTTGGCACATTTATTTATCTGTTTATCTTGATCCCAAATGTGTCCAAATACATTTTAATTGAGGGGGGTGAAATAACCTGTAGAAAGGCAAATTGAGTATAATTTACCTTTCTGCAGCACAAATTTCGGTACCAAAAAAATTAAACCATGCACTGTTCCTTATTTTACTATTTTCATCCTTTTTTATTATTTTATTAGTGCTGTGAAAATGAACACTGAAAGTATCATGACAACAGGTTTTCATGAAGGAAGCTTTACATGTGCATGAGGTAAATGTAAAGGCAGGGGAAATTAGAAAGGAACCCAGTGTATTGGGCAATGAGGTTAACACATCTTCACTATTTCAGGATTTACAGCATACTCAAACGTATAGTATACAACATTTAATGACTACTGCTAAAACAATGCAAACCATAACTCTGGTGTGAAGATGTACAATTAAATGGCCAGTGAGTCTATATTCAAGTTTCTCTGATATGAAGAATCTAGTTTTATTAGTCTGCAACAAAAAAAAAAAGGCATCTTTAAAATAGAAATGGGTCCCTATAGCCGCAATCCGTATAATTATATTTTAGGAAATAACAACGAAATATTCATTTAAAAAGTAATGAACATTTTCGTGAAGGAGCTGTTGTTTTCAGATATACCTGTCTTTATTGGAAAAGTAAAGTTGTTTTTTTCAAATAGGAAGTGTACGCTCTCATCAACAAAACAACAATAACATCAGTTCCATGAATAGGTGAAACGTAACAAGCGTAACCATACCAACAGATTATTGTAAACTTTCCTGTCCACCAATCCCAACACTTCTTTACTGTATTATTACATTTACTCACTTTGAGTGAAGTGCATTGAATTTCACACTGTTAGTGTAAATAAAACATTGTGTATTCTGCTTGGTCTACCTCGGAAAAAATACATACTGTAACAGGACCTTTTTGAAAGCCATTCTTATCTCTTGTTCTCTCCTTGAGTCCGTAACAGTCTGTGTCTAAACAGAATAAAATAATCCCTCAGACCCTGGAGCAGCACACACTGTAGGGAGGGGATTATTGACTCAATGTCCCAAATAGGTGTTATACCTCTCTAGAGTGATATATAGTGTTGTCAGGCTTGGTCATTTCATTAGAGACAGCCACATAGATGCAATTTGTAATGGACTTTCGCAGCTTTTCAAACAAGCTGAACGTCTCGTAAAGACAAACCAGGCAAAGGGCATTCACTTGGATCCAAACATCATTGTTCAGTACATCTTCTTGGCAAAATATAATTCTCTTCCGATATAGGGGATACTGTCTCAGAAACAGTTTTCCTTGTTTGAGACTCAAAGCTAAGCTTTGAAATAGACATGTTTCTGCTTTAACCCTACTTTGTCTTGTATCACCAGAATCACATAGTGGCTAATGCTATATAATGCATACTTAAGGTAAATAATAGCTGTGTTACTAACATTAGTTTGCTGAATTTTCTCTACTTGTGCTCCTCTTAAGTTGTATTCAAAGTAAAGGGGAAACTAATGTGGGTCTCAGAGAGTTAAGGTGCATTAAAAGTCAAGGGGAAACAAATGTTCACCTTGCTGTGTTCGAAATAATTGCAGTCCATCTTCAGCTAATTTGGTATAGTTCAAATCAGCTAATGCAAAATACTTTATTTAAATCATCTTACTAAACTGGATAATATAAGTGATTTTAAATGCTTCATGTCATCAAATTTGACTTTTAAAAAAGGTTAAGTGTTCATTTCCTTTTGCTGTTTTAATTCCTAAGGTTCATCATTTCCCTTTAATGGGTGGTGACGGATCATAACTCTACATTAATTAAAAATGAAAACCACTAAACACTACAAGAAGAACAATTTCAATTTATAACAAAATTATGAAGCTGCTGCTAAACATGTGTTAATAAAAGATATTTGCAGTCAGTGGTAAGCTTTGGGACAAACATTAGATTCAATAAAGTGGAGTTACTCACATATCTGACTTTGCATGTATATTTGTAACATTAAAGAACCAGTCCAGGAATGGCCAAAATTATTTGTTTTCCTTTTAAACAAATGTAGCATAATGATCCATCACAACCCATCAAAATGAGACAACCCTAACCCAATTAAAACTTCCATCCTAGCTATTATTTAAAGGAAATTGGCACTTTATTGGAGTTTGAATAGACTAATTAAAGGTCACATGTCATGCTTTTCCGTTTATTACCCGTCCCCTTGTGTGTTATGAAGGTTTTTCTGCATGTAAACAGTGTGCAGAGTCAAAACCCTCAAAGTACACCCTGTAGCGAGTAAAACTCTAAAACAGAAAATACCTCCCCAAAACGCCTCGTTGGTGAAACGGGTACGTGCTTACGAAAGCACGTACCCGGAACTAAATGGGCCAATCCGTGGAGCCGTTACGTTACGTCCGCGGAGCCGTTACGTTAAGCCCCCGCTGATTGGTCCAAATTGACCAATCCACACACACACACTCAGTGCAGGCAGCCCTACTGATTTCTGCTCCCTGCTGCAGGCTGATAACAGACAGTTGGGATTGCGCGAAAATTCTGTGTGGATGGGGCTCGTGTTCAAGATGTTACCAAGGGGAAAATAAAGGGTTGCCGACAAAGGGAATGTTTTCGTTATACACGCCATGTACATACAGTCATACTATGTCTCCCCCCATAGGAATGAACTCCCCACGCTTCTCTCTTCACAACCCCCTTAGTGCGAGACAGACCCTTTCCAAAGTAAAACTCCCTTTCGCTGGCCTATTCCTCTCCATAGGACAAGTATGTGTTGATCGACGAGGGAGACTGGGAGTGTGTGTGTGTGTGTGTTGTCGTGTGTGTGGTGTGTGTAGTAGTGGTATTGTGTGTGGTGTATCGTGTGACTTTGTGTCCGATGTGTTGCTGAGACGTTCGCTCCCACATACACCGAGCTAGACACACAATAAGGAATACTGTTATGACAATCGTCTAACGAAGAGCGAGTCAACCGGCGTCTGTCTTTTGTACTTGTATACATATCTAAGTCTTGTGACATGTTTTGTTTTTTCTGTCTACTTCGAGCGACTAACTTTCTCTAACACTTGTACAAGGAGAAGTACTGGAACAACATTAAATTTGGGGTATGTAAACTAATTTTAGTACAATAAAGAGAAGAGGTTACACTATCTATAACATGTTGTACCGTATTAAGTACATAGACACATTTACACAAGGTGTACAATATTCTCAAGTAACAATCGAACTATAAGTCATGCAGACGAAACCAGAGTCTACCTTTGTCTATACGTTTAAAACGAAAGATACCACTAAGAAACGTATGTGAAATCGTATAATGTTACAGACTTAGCGGGGCTCCGATTTTATTACCCGACGAGATATGACGTGCTTCTAGACTTGTTGTCGATGCCACGAGCACGATCTTTTAACTAAATACACTACTATCATGATAAAAACATTTTGGTCTCCCTATACTGTAGTCAAAATACTTCAGATTGAGCCCCACAGTCGTTCACCACCAATTCAAAAGTTATTATTCATTCGTGCTAAATCGTTCTCCCCTTTAGAAGTTGTATATACACTATCTTATGAAGACGTAACTAAACGCATGGAAAAAGCCCCGCGCCCAGGGGCAGTTACAGTGTACCATTCGACTCTCGGATCTTATTCTGAAGATTGTAAGAAAGAGAGAGATTGATATATGAATCTTAAGATAAATGTATACTTTATACTATAAGAACCGTAATTGAAAGGAGATCTTCCTTCGTTGTGGGTGTACAGAATGTAAAACTAGTCCATGTCTAATCTAAAGACTATTATAATCACAGAGTACTAAATAATAGGACTCATATTCTGACTCCAGACTAAACACAAATAAACAAGAGGAGAATTTAGTGTATCCATCTTACGAGAAAAGAGAAATCTAAGCGGTTTCATTAAATTAAATAATAGTTTAGTACAGACACCAGTCGAGACCAATCTGAATTCGTCTCGTGAACATTCTATGATACAATTTAATATTCAACTGAATTAAGGTCACAATCCTATAATTACAAGTGGGCTTTGTAAAGTTAGAATCTCCACCGTATGGAATTTCCTATGTTGGGTACAGTATCCGGTAAAATGGTACTAGTAATTAAGGTACACTCCTAATGATTTTTATCTTTGTAATGACGACGTGATATATATTGGAAGTAGTAATCTATATTATGCTGTATTGTCCGTAGAGCTATATCATACACAAATAAGTCGTCATAAGCTATGAAAGAGGTGATTTTGCCCGCGGACGTCGAGGTCGGCGGGGGGAGGGACACTAGGGTCTACACGAAGATCTGGAAACCGGAGTCCCATGCTTAGCTGCGACTACCAGAACACCTCCACTATTCTATAAAAGGGCAACCTATATATCGCTTATCGTGTCGGTTGTTCGGTTTGAAGGTTGGAGCCTTGTGTGGTGTTTCAGTGTCCGCTTATTATTTTGTTGATTCAACACGCGGAGACATATCTCACTTCTCTTTTCCTAAATTTCCAACTAGACAAATATTATGCGACACTGCTGTACCCAGAACAGCTCTT